GTGTGTGTGTGTGTGTGTGTGTGTGTGTGTGTGTGTCAGTATGGAAGGGGAGCCCCTCTCAGCCCTGTGCAGCCCTGCTCTGGTGGTGGATGTGGACAAAGTCAAGAAAAACGCCCAGAGGATGATTGAACGCTGCCAAAAACTGGGAATCCAGCTTCGGCCACACATGAAAACCCACAAAACCATGTAACACACACACACATTTAGTTGTTTTAGTCAGGCTGTGTGTGAAGGATCCTGATGTGCTCTGTTTGTGTTCATCTGCAGTGAGTGTGCTGACATCATGACGGCTGGATCACGAAGGTGTATTGTTGTTTCCACTCTGGCAGAGGCCTGTTTCTATGCTGATCATGGATTTGATGACATCCTCTATGCATACTCTGTTCCCTTTGACAAGGTTRGCCACTTTACACCATCAGCTGTGTCTTTCAGCTGTTTACACACCGTCATAGTCAGTCATCTTTAAGGTGGAAAACTGATGCATGGAAGAGAGATCCAACTCATAAAGGATAGCAGAACTCCAGCTAACATTTAAATTAACATCATTTTATGATAGAAAATGACAGAAGTGAAGCCATTTTTATCAAACCTTCAATATGTCATGATCTCATAGCATAATCTTTAGAGTTCAGGTTCAGATTGTGCTGTGAAGGATTCAGCTTTTATCACATGACCAGTGACGTGCGGTGAGGTTCATGGATGGTGAGGCACTCAGTTCATCAGAATCAGATTTACAGATATATGAACCTACAGAACAACTTATTCACCATATGACTGGCAGAAGTTAATGAGTTACTGTATGTCTCATATCAGTGTTCTTTACACAAACRGCAGCTCATTTGATGCACATTTCATTAAAACAAAGTTATTATGTCCTACCTTTACTTATAACTTAAGTCCATCCACTGCTGAAAATATCCCATCTGAGTCCAGATATTGTCACAAGWTGAAAAATGTCAGGGTGAAAACAGTTTCTCTCAGGACATCCASGCAGTGTCCAACTCTGTGGTGTGGCTCTTATTTACCTGCTGCTTCCAAGTCCAGTTTAGAAAATAATTTAAGCTTTAAAATATATAATCCTCCATTCTAAAAGTCAGGTTTAAAAGAGAGAAAACAAATGGATCCCTGCTGCACTTTACTTTTTTTAACTTGATAAACTGAAACTTTACAAAACAGGTACCTAAAACACTGCACTTGGCTTGCTAACTGTAACTTGTTGTTGCTTCTTCTGCAGCTCAGAGTTAACTCTTCTTCAGCTCGTGCATTCTCTGAGCTCATGAGCGCCCCCTGCTGTTCCTTGAGCATGAAAAAGATTTGCCTCCGTGTCTTTTCTCAGCCGTTTCAGCTCACAGAACATGTTACACAAAAACATGTTTATATAATAAACATCAGTTAAACCGTGTAATGTCAGGTGTGTATTTAAACAATTCAGAAACATTTTACTGGCAACATATAGAGACATTTTCTACTCCCACGACATAACATGCAGGAGGGATTGTGCAATCTGGAGGCGGAGCTTGATTTTGCCTCCTTGTATGTCTCGTCCTGTATTTGAACAGGAAATTAGGAAATTCAGCAATTTTAGATAACAGGGTTCCTGCAGATCCTTAAAAAGTCTTAAAAGGCCTTGAATTCATCAATCCAAAAATAAGGCCTTAATTAGCCTTAAAATGTCTTAAATCAATCTGTCAGAAGTCTTAAAAATGTTAACACATTGTAAGTAGGATGACTCATCTCAAATATTAAAATAATTGGTAACATTTCTTTAAACGTTCACATGCAGACATTCCTCTTTAACATCACTTCCTGTTATTTCACATGCAGATATCTCAACAACCGTCCGTCTGAGCACCACAAAATTTGTTTCATAATATGTTAATAATGTTGTATTTCCAAAAATATATTCACATTTCTTACAAAAAAGTTGATGTCARYGGCACTTTAAGGTTTCATCTACAGCAAATTAGGGTTGAGGCCCCGATGTGGGTCCTAAAACTCCAAATTTTGGGTCGTAAAATAATTTCCAGGAATTAAATTAAGTTTAAAACTGACTGCTAAGAATGTTTTTGCTATATTTGACAAAAAAAAAACAGTTCAGTATGGTTAAAAACAGTTGGTTTATTAGGAATATTTGAATACTTCAACCAATTTATTTTTTTGTCCTTTGTGTTTATCGTGAAATTGTTCTTAAATGTAATTTCATTTGGCATTAAAAAGTCTTAAAAAGTCTTAAATTTAACTTGCCTTAAACTGTAGGAACCCTGGATAAGAACAATATTAAAAAGTGTTAAAGTTAATTGAAAATYTGTTTACAGTACAAAGCATTGTATAAATGACAGTTTAACATCTTTAAATTTGTTTTTTCTTTTTAATTTCCTGTAGTAACTGCACGTCACTGCACATGACGTTACAGCAATTTTTGTGTCGTTGGCTGTGGCAGCCAGTCTTGAACTGGGCTGACTCCAAGTCCTGAAAGTTTCTTAAATATCTGTTCAGTGAGATATTCTACAAACAGGGTTGTCTTTAACAGTTACTGCTAATGTTTTCYTTAAAGTGGTTCAACTTGTACATAATTTGTAACCAATACAGAGTGTTAACATCACTCTTAGAATGCTTTGTGAATGACTCACAGCTAAAACCACAGCTCAGTATCTTTAAAATGAACTTAACTATAGTAGTTTTTATAAGATGTACATGTACGTCCAATAATAATTTTTACAAGTTTCATGAGATATTTTGGTAGCTGTCAGACACATGAGCACAGACAATATAAATTATAAATAATGTACAATTCATTAAAGAGCCTCTTTGAGTGCTATAAAATGCTGCACATGCATGTGTTCAGGTGGAGCGTTGTGCAGCTCTGTCAGAGAGACTGGATCTTTTCCAAGTTTTGTTGGATCATCCTGATGCGCTCACGCTGCTCAAACAGAGGCCTCTGAAAGGAGGTCGGCTGTGGCACGTCTGGATGAAACTTGACTGTGGCAACGGGAGAGGTAAGCGTGCAGGAAACTGTGCCACGGCTGCTCGGGAGCTTCTCCACACCTTCTGAGTGTGAGTTCTTTACTCTCTGCCACAGCTGGAGTCCTGCACACAGAGCCTGAGGCACTCGGACTGGCCCAAGCCATTGCAGAGACAGAGGGGGTGGAGCTAACAGGTGTGTACGTCCARTGTGGGAACACCTACCACTGCAGAGGGATGGAGCAAATACAGGCTGTCGTTCAAGAAACAACCAACTATCTGCTGCAGTTCATGAAACAGTAAGCTCAAACACGGAGACAGAAATGAGCAGGGGAAGGAGAAAACCCAGTTAACACTGAAATAAAATACCTTTTTTTGTCAAAATAAAAAATAATATTACGCAATATCATGACATCTTGTGTGATATTATATTATTTCTTCTGAATGACTGTCAGCTACTACCACATGAAATTTTAACTCAATTATCTGTAAAGTTCACTGAGGTTATAGTCATTGTTTTGTTTTCAAAGGTCAGATGTCTGTGGCAGCCATCTTGAATTAGGTTGACTCCAAAAGGTGATGTTTTTCAATGGGTCACAAGATATTTTGCTAACAGTAAAGACAAATGAATGCAGAGACACTTTGGGAGAAGTAATATTAATTACTGTATTAAGTCATTGTAACATATTGTTTTTGCTTTTCCATTAAGCATTGAAGTCAACTCTGATATTTCATGAACAACTAAGTTGGATAAATAAATATTAATAAATCTTAATATAATCACTGAATCTTCATCTGCAACTGATTAACTTTTGGAGGCAACCTAGTTCAAGAAGGCTGCCATAAACAACCAGTCTTAGCCAGCACAAAATTGCTATAACATCATGAAATTTACAAAAATTGAGCTAAATCTTGATGAGGTAGTYGCTCAGTGTCTTCACAGTTTGATCTAAAACACCTTGCGTTTTATAATATCACAGAAAACTGCACGTCGTTTGATCTTTTTCTCAAACTCTGGCATGAAAGGCAGTAAGGATTGTTAGACCTTTAACTGGGTCTGTTTTACTTTTATATGCAATAAATTCTGACCTATACCAACAAATTTGAAATATGACATCAAGGTAAAGGCCTGTTTATTTAATTCCAAGTAAAGCCGGGTCATACAGCAACACAGTGACGCTACTAAACAATGCTAAAAGTACAGGGTGCGTAATTTATATGGATACACCTAAATAAAATGGGAATGGTTGGTGATATTAACTTCCTGTTTGGGGCACATTAGTATTTGGGAGGGGGAACATTTTTCAAGATGGGTGGTGACTATGGTGGCCATTTTGGATCCCATTTTTAGTTCTTTCAATGGGAAGAGGGTCATGTGACACATCAAACTTGTTGAGAATTTTACAAGAAAAACGATCCATATAAATGGCCCACCCTGCAGAACCAATTTAATGTTTGGAAAAAGCAAAAGAAATGACCAACATGCTGGAGCTGGGAGATTTGTTTAGAGTTGCTGCATGAGAGATCAAATTAAATACTTCTAGTATATTGTCAGTGTGCCTAGTAGTAATACATATACCACATTCTAAATATGCATTTGTTTACTTTATTGTATTTGCTTTATTTAGGTACATTAGGAACTGAAGGTTAAAAATACAGTATAATGGTTTGATGGAGGCAGAAATATAAAGATAATCTGAGAGGTTCAGCAGTTACTGTCAACACCTGACTCACCTGTTTGTTCCTTTCCTTGTTTGCAGATTGAACGCTGCAGGTATCAGCTGTAAGTCCAGCATCGGCTCCACCCCTTCCTGCAGTCATCCCGTTGATGACATGGCAAAGCTGAGCGAGGTGCATCCTGGGAACTATGTCTTCTATGGTGCGTTCTTGTTGAAATATCATTTGTGAACAATAAATCTGATGCACTAATCGYGATTATTTGACACGTATTGTTGGGTTTTAGACGTGCAGCAGTCGGGGATTGGCTCCTGCAGCCTGGAGGATGTGGCTGTGAGAGTTTTAACAAGAGTCATCGGACACTGTCCACACAGGAACCAGCTCCTGATTGACTGTGGATGGAGCGCAATCAGGTATTCTTACAAGTATTGTGTGTTTTAAAAACCCAGCTGAGCTGTTTGCTGTAGTGTAAAGCATGTAAAGTAACTTTTTCTTGTTCTTCTCAGTTTGGATGGAGCTGGAAAACTTCCCACTGGATATGCTGTGATTGAAGGGCACCCAGACCTCAAGTAAATTTCTTTGGCTTCTCTCTAAACCTAAACCTGAACTCAGGTACTGCATTATAATGAGGGGTGTTTCCCACCAGGTTGTTGTCTATGACTCAGGAGCARGGGAGAGTAGAGCCGATCTCAGGACCGCTGGACTACAGCAAATATCCCCTGGGCACTTTGCTCAAGTTGATCCCTTACCATGTTAGTACTGTGTAACATACTCAGACACATCGTTTTAAAATCCTACAATATGTGTTATCTTTCTGATCAACAACCTCTTTTACTTTTTATTTTTTAGTCCTGTGCGACAGCCTTGATGCATCCTGTGTACTACGTGCACTCTGAGGGTCGTCTGCTGGGGAAGTGGACACCCACCCGTGGGTGGTGAACACCCGTCCAATGCTTCACCTATACATTACTGAAAGAACTTCATTCCAGAGTGTGTCAACCAACTTGTTCACTAAAATAATGGTGCAGAATTGGTAGCTCTTTTCACCTCTTGTAAACTCTAAAAGATTCAAAGGGAATGGAGGAAAAAAAACACACAGGAAAGATTTTCTGTCTGATATTTTTAAATAAAAGAAAGTAGAAGAAACACGTTGTTTCCTGTTTTTTTTTTTTTTTTTTTTTTTCAGAATTTAATAATTATATGTAAAGCAAAGAAATGATTTGAGGAAGAAGCTGCAGGTTATAGTTGAACTCTGGTGATGAACAGACATACAGCAACTCTGATTCCACACCACCTCTATTTTTTTCTTTTATCTTTCATTAAGTTTACCTGTATATTTTTGAACGAGTTACAAAAAAAACACATTAAGGCACTTTCCATATAATAAAAATTTATATTTTTTGTTTCAGTCCTACATTTGTTTAAAATCATCTTTATTGCTTGTAATCTCATTTTGTCCGTATTTCACTTTAAAAACATAAAAATACAAAAGTATTTAGGTTATTGGTGTAATTGGTAAAATTGATAAAATTGAAACAAATGAGAGAAATCCCAACAGGATTTAAAAGCTTGAGTCGAAATGCATTCTGGGAAATGTAGTTCTGACTGAACCCGCTGTTCTGATTGGCCGCAGCGTGACCTTTTACGTGTCACGTGGTTTAAAATCTTCAGCAGGGTGGCGCGGAAACTTGTCCCACCACTATCGCGCAGCTAAACCCGGATTTTTAAAAGTTTTGTTTACATTTGCGACCATTGTTCTGCGGGTAAGTCACTTGTGCTGTTAACGTGTTTTTGCTTTTTGTGTCGTAATGACACGTGCGCAACAATTTGCTCTGTTTTACTGCTTTGGCCTTACTACGAAAAAATGTAAATGAAACCCGTCGTTTTTATCAGCTAAACATACACTGAAAGTTAATTGTGTGTCTTGTAATGACACGGCTGCTTGACTAACAACTACCTTATTTGTTTATCAGTAAAATGAGTGTGTTGGAGGTGAAGTTCATCGGGGACGGAGATGTTTTGGATCACATCGTGGACAAACAGGAGGGTATGAGCCCTACTTTTATTTCTGAAATGTTCCAGAGCATATTTGTCCCTTCGGTGTGTTTCTGACCTTCTGTTTGTTTGTGCTTTTATTTTGAAAAGGTGTGCAGAGCAGCGCTGGCTCTGTGCAGAAGATGGTGAAGTTTAAGAGGCCGGCAGGACTGCAGGGCTGCAGAGAGGACGCAGAACTGAATCCTGARGAAAGCGGTGTCTTTGATGAGCAAAATTATATCCAAGCTTTGGGAGCAGAAAGCACTGAAGGTATCCCACATGTCTGCTCTATCACTGGGGATGACACAATCATATGCATGCTGGTTTTAGTTCTGGGTTTTGGTTCAGTCTTCCCACCTGCTTTTTTGCCACACAGGCAGCCTTAGAGGTTTTTATTTAATGAAGTTTAGTTTGAGTTTATCTACAGACAGCAGGTTGGCTCAGTTGGAAGCAGGGTTATTATAGTTAACTAAAACTAACTAAATAATAAAAACTGAAATTGAAAGAACATTTTGGTTAACTAAAATAACTGTAGTAAAATGAAGAAAAAAAGAAATACCTAAGTAAAACTGTTTAATCCTTTTACAAAACTAATTGAAATTATAGATGGAATATCCTTAGTTTTAGTGTTTGTCCATTTATTTCTTTTTTTTTTTTTCATATTAGCTGTGGGCAGTTTACAGCACCTCATGGTCCGTAACAACACTTGWTTACAATCAGCTGCTGCTCAGCATCGTCTGCTAAATGACGACAGTAACAGTTGGGAGAAAGCGTCCACTTTAGGATTTATTTAAAAATGACTGCGAGAAAAATCAAAGCAAGTGTCTTGTAGTGGAAACAGGTGATAAAACAGGTGGAATACTTCTCAAGGGAAAAACTGTATGAATTAAGCTCTCACAAGATGGCTAACTATGACTATCTTGACACACTAGCTTCTCTCAGTAGCTCTTGTGAAAAACAAACAACAGGTATCCCCGGGTTAGAGACAACTATTATCATCATCCTAAAATAATCGCCCAAATCKTCAGTTGGCTAAATTGAGTTACGCMATTATTTTAGGAAGGTGTTGCTATAATGGACTGTTTTAACTAGTTATCAAATAGCTGTTTGTTAACTCACAGGAACATCACAAGCTTGAACATGCATTGGCAAATATGTTTATTCAAACTATAAAAAAACTAATACTAGAACTAATAAAAACTAAACTAAAACTAATCCCATCAGTGTACAAGTGTGATGTAAAGCAGAGGTTCTTAACCTTTTTGACCTCGGGGCCCAATTTYTTGAACATAAAGTGGCACGAGGCCCAGTCGGACATTACCATTGTAAGGATCAAAATGATAATTTTTCTAAATCTTGGTTTAATTTTTATTATATTTACATTATAACTAAATTAAATACACTTACAGTTTAAACAATTTTTTATATTGTAACCTGCCCATAACGATTATTTGAACAAATACAAAGGTCAGTCAACAGACTCACGCAAATATGTTTTTTTTAACATAAATAACAAAAATAGAAAATTCAATAAATACAATACAGTTGTGGGCACAAGATAAATAAATTTAAAAAGTTTAAATGTTTTAAATACAGAAAAACCTGTAAAACTAAATTTCATAAAGTACAAATGAAAATAAAGCCTTTTTAAATTTTTGCATGGTAGAAACAGAAGCTGCACTTCATGTTAGTGACAAACAACAGACAACAGCTTTTTGACAAGTTTAAAGTTTCTTTAAAATACATTAAAATGTTTAAAAATAAACTACAAAAATAATTTGACAAAGTGCAAATTAAAATATAGCTGTATCTGCAACTGTATTTGATAATGTTTTGAACTTTTAAAATATTGCATGATAGAAACAGAAGCTGCACTTCATATGCTTTCGCATTTTTTGACAGSTTCCCTTCATTTTTGCTTCTATTTTTCATTTAAAATAAGTTTCCATTTTCGGCAGGTACGTATCTAAGTTTCTTCTTCTTCTACATATTAAAAAAGTTGTTAAACAACTGAGTGGCACACTACCGCTACTAGTGGTGAGAAACTGTATTGCATCTTATTCAAAATCAATGCGCTCCCACGGCCCTCTGCGGCACAAAGTTAAAAACTGTTGTTCTTTTGAGGCCCTCAAGCTGGCACTCGCGGCCCATAGGTTAAGAATCTCTGATGTAAAGCACTGACTAGTGTCTGTAGATTGATTTACTTGTGATAGCTTTATAGAGAGATCTAGTAGAGTGCTGTGAGGCTGACTAAATGAGGGCACAGCTTGTAGTGTAAAACACTGAGTATCTGAGTGTTGGATAGAAAGGCCTGTATAAGTACAGTCCAGTTACCAAATAATAATATAATACATTACATAGGCAGCCATCTGTCTCAGCCAGCTGAGGGTTGAGAAGATGGTAAATATATGAAAACACAGAAGTTCTTTTCTAGTTTTTATGGAWGAAAAACAGAACACAGTTAATATCTGCAATAATTACAATTACAAGCTTTGAGACTAGATCAAGTAAAAACAGCAGCAGAGTGAGGAAATGTGGTCAGTTTGTCCTCCAGCAGTCTAAGGCTACGTTCACACTGCAGGCAAATCCGACCCAAATCCGATTTTTTTTGACCCATCTGACTCATATCCGATTTTTTTATGACAGTCTGAACGAGACAAATCCGATTTTTTCTAATCCGACCCAGGCCGTTTCAGTATGTGGTTTTAAATCGGATATATATCTGATG